GAAATTTAATCCACTCGGCATGACAAGACATGTATCGTAAGACTTACTAATTGCAGTATGGGAAAGCCTAGCTATATGCACTCAAATCGCCTTAAATGGCCTAAGATTAATTTTGTAGTCGTCCCTTTGCTACAATAGTATTGTGTCCCAGATGAATTTCTCCAAACTATTCATCATAGTTATGTAGCTACGCATATCTACTGATCCTCATGTCTTCAGCAATCACATTCTGCAAATACAAATCTTTGCCGTATGCCTCTTTTCTAAACAATGTGTACATAACTGCTCAAAGATCCAGCCTATTTTGATGGGCACAAATCTGCCTACCTCATGCAAAGCGGCTTCGAGCATTTCATTTTTGGCTACGCAGTCCCAGCTGGCTACACCAAACGCCATCATCCGATTGCCTCCGTAGGCGTCAGTGTAGTCACGCACAGCTTCTCCTGCTAGCTTCATGATGCCCAAATTAAACCCACCAGTGATAATCCAGCAACCTTTACAAAATGGTCAAAAAAATGGCAGTAATGAGGATGCAAGTCATGTAGACTGCAAATGTATTTCAAGACAATACAGACAAAATATAATATAAAACATAATGATAAATTGTAGTAGGCTAATTAAACTACAAAACAGCAAGCTGAAAGCACCTACTTACTTCGTCATACCAAATTACATCATAAATAGACAAGCAATTTTTTGTAGGTTACAATGTGAACGGGAAAAGCAAAGAGTTATAAGAGGTCGCAATGTAGCAGTTCTCATCAGTTGTGTGTCTCTTGTTATACTGATTTTGCAGCCTAGTCATATCTCTTGGGCTGCCTTCATAACTCACTTTGTGTTGATCTATTTGCTCCTACCAAAAAGATAATTTAATGACCAACCTCTTACCCTTTACACCTCACTCGAGGGCATGAGTAAATGCAAATTGCACTAATGGGATAGATTTATGTTCATCTTACCAAATTCAGTAATCACAACGTTTTTTTCATTAAGAACACCATTTCGTAAATATGAACTAGGAGATAAGACAATATATTGAGTGAGATAAACGAGAGAGACAATCGTGGTCGATTTGTAGACTCAATGATAAAGAAGCTGACTAACCAACTACAGAAGGATGACAATACAGCAAGTCCTTTGAGTTATGTTTCTGGTAATAGTAATTTAACATCTTTCTGATTTCCTACAGAAAGCTCGTAAACTCAAACGGGCATTTATATGCCCTGATGCCCTAGGACGGCTTTCACACTACGTTTTACTTACTCGAAACCAACACTGATCTAATGGTATTCGTATACATACAAGCATACGCATAGCTGGACATACGGATGAACCATCCAAATCATACAATATTTCTTAAAATTCTTTTTTTGGGAGTACGGTTATTTCCATGAAGCAATAGTAATTCGAATGTGGTATAATAATAATGAACAGTTCCGATTATTTGTGTCAAATGGAATAGGAGATTTCAACACAAGTTCACCGGAATCGAAGGAGTATTTCTCGAGGAGTGAAGCAGCCTCGACATAGCAGCAAGGTTAAACAAGCAATCAATAATGATACGCCATCACACTTCTGGTGGGGTTGGCCGACGAATCTTATCGTAAAACAATTTTACAGAAAATAACGACCAGCTTAGCAATGCCAAATTGGAAGATTCCTCCAAATCCATTTTATCTTCTTGTGCCAAGACATCACGCATTCAAACAGCTTGCTCAGCGTAATAACGTAAGACAGACCCTGTATAAGTCCAGTAGGGTTGGACTGTTCCCGATAATCACCCTTTAGCGACAGTCATTGTTGACGCTGGTTTTGATTAAATTAAAGACATTAAAGTTGGACCAACCTACCAGCAAAATACCTTTAAGGCAATAAGCCGAGATGCAATCAGAGCACTCCTATCCTCAGTGCCTATGAGAGATTGGGCAATACACTCATCTTAGTAATGCAAAAAATCCTCCTCTTCACCGTCAACGAAATAGGCTGGACACAAATCATACATCTGATTTAGTTGGTCTCGAAAACCTACTCGATAATGAAAAAAGTAATGTCGTCTATGGTTGTAGCAAATATAAGTTTACCACATCGACAAACCCAACACAAAATGTGATATGGAAAATGCCTGACCTCCCTTGAAAGGCACATCTACCCTGCCACCATGGGAACGTGTCGAGTTTACATGCTGCACTGTCATGGTTCGACTCCCGCTGGGGTGATGATTAGACCTATGTGAAGACGAAACTGCAGTCCACCCTGGATGAGTACAACTTTTGGGGCAGTAAAGCTGTGTGAAATTGAGTGGATACGTCAGCTCTATTCATATCATTGTGGGAAAGTTCAACTACCAGTCTTTCATCACCTCAAGCGAAATATGGTGAACACAACTTCTCATTGAAGCCGAAATAATCGAGGAAGGTAGCAAATAGACTGCCCAGATGCAAGCAATTTCTTAATGGTAGATGTGAAGACCAAAATTCTGCGGCACCTATTTTAATTGCAGTATCCTTCCATGGCATTTCAGTGGTTTGACCTTGTTATTGTAAATTAGTTGAATTGACAATGAGACTAATTGAAAGCTCCTTGTCCAAATTCCTTTGTCCGACGCTGCTAATTTTCACAATAAATTAATTGTGACATGACTTTTCGTCTCAAAGAAAACTTGGTTGGAAGGAATTCGTGATATGGTCTCTCCGGAAACCGAACAAGGACTACCGAGTAGGGAAGTCTTTTTTATTGTGCGAGCAAGTCCACCACTCAATGCCCTCACACCCCGATGAAAGTGTGCTAAGCGTTCGTCTGTACTGTGACAGACATCAAAATTCACGAAAACATATACTAAACCAATAGAGAAGGTGACCAGCTACAACCCGAATCGATTTTTATACACCCATCTTGGCGACCTTAATGAGCTACCCCATGATTTGGTTGGCTACTTCAACCTTACTCTTCATGCTCGCAAACGAGTGAAGCTACTTTCCGAACCATAAGTGCGTTCGATGGTAGCTATTTCCTTACACAAATAAAGTAGTGTACGATCGTCATCTTTTGAAGCATGTCTGGGCCTATGCCATTGTCTATTTTATGCATGTAATTTTCGTTTCATGGGAAGTGTGATAGCCCTAGCTAGACTCTAGGCCAATCCAGCCTCCTTCTCTGGTTCAATGGCTTTTCATGTACTCCTCTCTCCCTCTCCTTAAACCTATCAAATAGCTGTAAATAGTTCCTACTCAGTATTCTACACTCGTTGGTTGCTTTGCTGGTTTCTATAGATTCCCTCATCTTACGCTTATATCTGAAGTCCTCGTAACCCGCAAGACCTGTTTCGGACAAGTCTATTTAGTGTCCTGTATCGGCAAAGTGTGCTCAGCGAGCTCAGATTTTTGGACCCCGAGACCTGTACAAGTGCTTTTTGTTCAAATAATCTCCTCCGGATTGATTGCTCTGTCTCCGCCAAATAGACCTTACCACCTGAGCACAAAACTTTTTAGCAGCCTGATCTAGAAAGAGGGTACGAAAAGTCTCTGAGTGAAAGAATTAGTTAAGAAAGTGTAATTTCTCTTTGTACATTGTTTTATGCTCCACTTCTTCCGTAGATCCCCCAACATTTTAGCAAGCACAACTTTTTGCTGGCTACGGGGTGCTAACTTCACTCATTTGCAAGCACGTAGAATAAGGTTGAAGCAGCCAAGCAAATCATGGGACTAGGGTTACAGCCGGCGACCTATCTTGATTTAGTATATTTTTTCATGAAGTATAGATACCTAACAAGACAAACGAAAGCCTATCACAATTTCATCGGGGTGTCAGGACGGTGAGCCGAGGACTTGCTCGCAAATACAACAGATTTTCCTATGCAGAAATCCTCCTTCGGTTTTCGCTGCGACCACATCATGAATTCCTTCCATCCAACTTTTCCTTCGAAATGGAAAGTCATCTCACATTATAGCACTAAGGAATTCTTCGAAACCCAGTTTTTCTTCTTAACTACCAAATTAATTTTTCAGCTATTTCCAACACGATGAATCTTTAATAGACAAATTTCCATTTGTCAGTATGAAATATGGTTGAGGAAGCTGGTTCATAGAAAACAACAAAAATACAGAGCAAAATTCCGGTTCATTTGATATTTATCGCTAAACCGGAAGACCCTGCCAGGTTTATCAGGTTGTCAAGCTGGTTCCTTATAGTGGTCACTAAGCCAAACGATTCAAATATATCGCTATTCCGTTCAATATTATTACCTTGAGCAATCTCGTATTATTCAAGAGATGAATAAGATGGCCGTTAATTAGAAGAGAAAAATTAATACTAGCGTAATGCAAATAAGACTGATTCCAATGCTGAGTACACAAGGATTTCAGAGCCCATAGGTTTTCTCATAGAGACTTAGGATCATACTATGCAAATTATTTTCCATATCAAATCATCTTATAACAATCAAAAGTGCCTAAGCAAACATTGTTTTAAAAATACCTATTAGGAAGAGGTGGAGCACTGAAATAAATGACGTTAAAATGTTTGAAGTATCCAAAAGAGCATCTCTAAAACAACTATTATAAATGGAAGCAATTGAATGTTGGCAGCTTTTGGCAGTTTTCAAAGTATCACAGCACAAGCTGTGAGATTATTTTTTGGATAATCTCACATATTTTTCCATAAAGAAATGCAGACCTTAATAGCTAAACTATAGACGATGATTGTTTCATCATTCATTCGCTATGCCACCCATCAAAAAATACAAGCTCATTCAAACTGTCCAACTGTCTGTAACTAGTGGATATAAACAAAAGATGATGACTAAAATTTGATAAAGCAATCGACTCCAAAGATATACGTTGGATAGCTTAGACTCAAAATAGAACTCCAAACGAGTCTACAGAGTCGATTCCTAGAAGCATTCCACGGCTTAGACATCAGGAATACTCGTGGCCCACAAATGTTGGCAATTTTTAAAAATGATCTTTATGCATTATGAGGAGAATGTAAAAAAGCGAAGACCTAACTTAAAAAACTGATTACCATGACTTGGACATTCGCTTTGATCATATCGTAAGGTGAGTAAGCGCGAATTCAGACTTAATTAAATAAAAGTTATATAAGTCGCGAAAACCTACTCTATAAAGAAAAATACAAAGAAAAGTCGTTTGATCCTGTATTCGTAACTTGGTCGTACTGGTAGGGAGATCTATGGGAACTTACCTTGCCCGGAGGCCATAGTATCACATTATCTAGCAGCCAACCGGTCAAAGAATCGACTTCACTTGTCCTTTTGATGAGTTGTAGCTTGTTGCTGGGAATGGCAAGACTCACTGACGATGCTGACTATGATGCTGGCGAAACATCTGGAAATGTACCAAAAACACGGTACGACGCTGCCAATTATCAATGTACACTATGAAGTCGGGACGATGTGCGCTCCTCTATGTCTCCCTGACAATACGACCAAACTGCGAAAACAATGTCAAACAACTTCTATAAAAGGGAAGGAGACAGCTACCATAATAAAAGCCATAAAAGCTTGGTCTTCATACCATCAATTAAACAAAAATTGTGTAAGCATTCACATTAAAAGTGTTCAGTAATTATCGCATATGCAATTGTTCCAAAAGAAAATAGAAGTAAATGAGTTCGAGTTTAATTGTCTGAAGTAATTCCTATGCCAATTTCACTTGAATATTAAGGCAGATTCCTCTTGACAAGCTGTTGCTGGGCTTTACCTGCACATGCTGGTCTACACCCCCAGTAAAAACATGATAGATTTTTTGTATCATTCTAATTGAGAGACATCACCAGAGCTTAACGCCAAACTAATAACTCAAGAAAAATGAGCGGCTTATCCCTACATGCTTAATTTATACTCCTACTTTATGAAGAGTGATTTAGCTGGGTCACGTCATATGTAAATATATGAA